GTTTATCCATACACAGTAAAGTGAAAAGGCAAGATACAAAAAGTAGGTGAGGCTCTGGGGAGCCGATGCTCCCCAGAATGGGAATATTAGTATATAGCAGTAAGTCGCAGTGGAGGCCGGTAATGGAGATCAGTAAAGGTGGTCCTGACAATGGGGAGGAGTGCTTTTATACCCCAGGGGACAAAGATCCAAAATTCAGTGAGGGTAGGGCGATTAAAGTTTGAACCAGGGACAGGGGTACTGCGTCATAGTAACGCGGTTTGTCTTTAATCTATTTTTAACAAAAACCATTATTCACTGTTTGATATATTACGCAATTACGCGATAATAAAAATGCATATCAGCTTCATGTTCCTTTCCATACTTGGCCTGTATGAGCTACGGAAGCACTCGAGAAGTGGCTGGGTGAAAAGTGCTAATAGCAGCCGCTTCGTGGTAAAGCTTTCGATGGTTCCCTCTTTCGTGAGTTGCTTAGAAGCAAGCTAATGGCAGGTGTGATCTCTTGGCAGATGCCAGTGCCAGTTTTTCTACCGTTTTTCTATCTTGAAGGGTTTAGTTGTTCCACTGGCGGAGTCAAACGACAGCAGGCATCATGGCGCCAGTGAAAATGCACATGTCGTATTCAATAAGAGAAATAAGTGGCAATCTAAATTACTGTAGTTTTTTGATGCTTCTCCGCCGTCTCGTCACAGCTTGAGATTGTGGAATCTTTATTCTTTTAGGTATTGCAACCAATGCAGCATCATGCAGTGCCGATGGTTTTGGCACTCTTTTATAAGAGTAGTGTAGCCAATCAGCCCTCATTGATGACTGAATTTTGTTGCGATCAGATTGAGGTTTTTTGCAGTGCCGTGTCCGCCCCCTCTCATATGATTACTCTGTTTATTGTTCTTTGAGTGGGTACCATTGATTGCTGCCAGGTGAGTGAAAGCAGTGGCTGACTGGTGTATTTTTGCTGTTTTAGACAAGACAACACGTGGTGAAATGCGGCCACTGCAATGAAGCAACGCCAATTCGCGCGGCGCCCCCAGGAAAGAAGTATGTGCGTTGTCCATGCAACTGCCTTCTGCTGTGTAAAGCTTCATCGAATCGTATCGCATGTCCACGTCTCAACTGCAAGCGTGTTATCACACTTGGCGGCAGCGCTCCTGTCGGCACCGCTGTTAGGTGGGTCTTCTGCACCATCATTCACAGTCCTCTCTGTTTGTTATTTCACGATTGTCTTATTTCAAATGAAATACTCTGACGCTCGGTAGTAGCTTATTGGTTTAGCTCAGTGCAAGAGTGAAGTGCAGAAACCAGCCAAACTGGCCAGTTGTGTCCTGGTCGGTCGCCAAGTCGTTTTTATTATGGTTTACTTTTCCAATTTTTATGCCTTCTTTGTTTTGTATATGCGCAAAGGAATTTTGTAAGCTGCTCAAACTCATAACTTCTGAGTGCGGAAAAGCTGGATTTTTGTCATAATCCTGCAATTTGTTAAAAAATATAGGCTTATTTCTTTCGGTCTTGCGTATGAGCATTAGTTCTATAGGTGAGGTTTTTTCTTTTTCAGCAAATAGCTCTGCTACTTCCAGGGATAATGTTTTATTCCAAAAAAAAA